TTAGATTAAAAGATAGTTTATGTTTGTCAATGCGTATTAAGTACAGATGATTTTACTTAATGAATTCAACTAAATTGAGACACTTGTTGACATTAAAAAGAGTGGCCCAATTTACACAATTGGTCTTCATCTTTGCATAAGATTATTTACCATTTCATTTTGCTTTTCTCAAATCAGACAACAGTTCATCTTGGGATTCTTCTTATCAGTCTGGTAAGTATGCCATCCTGTTTATAAAACTGGCCAACTTGAAAATTCTTCAGCTGTAAATCTCCCGTCATGTTATGGTGATTTCACTCTCTCGGTGTTCTCAGGTGGAAGGAGCAGTTACACGGAAGGTCCTGTGATCACCACACAAGTGACTATTCCTAAAGATGTGAGTCAATCGCCCGTACTGCGATGCGCTTTCCACCTGAACCGCGTGTTTATCTCCCTCTGCTGTGATTCTCAGCTGGCGGGATCCATCATCGGTAAAGGCGGTCAGAGGATCAAGCAGATTCGCCATGAGTCCGGAGCCTCGATCAAAATAGACGAGCCCCTGCAGGGTTCAGAGGACCGCATTATCACCATCACCGGGACCCAAGACCAGATCCAGAACGCTCAGTACCTGTTACAGAACAGGTATGAGACACATCCACTGGCGCAGTGTCAGGTTTTTATGGGAACCGGAGCCTCTAATGGCAGCTGCGTCTCATTTCGGAGGCCGTGTTCTCCGGAGGTCGCATTTGAAGGCTGCATACGTCATCGGGGCAGTCTCATTTAAGTAAAGTAACCGTTAAATTGCAAAGCAAAAAGAAATTACAGTATTTACATATTTTACAGTATATTACAGTTACTTTTCTTAAATAAGACATCCTTGATGACGTATGCAGCCTACAAATGCAACCTCCTGAGGGAGCAGCTTCTGAAATGAGACGCAGCTAATGACGCAATACCAATCAGCAATTGGCTCTTTCATTTAGAAGGCGGGACATATTCCACCATATATGCAATATGGCGGAATATGATGTTTTTTTCCCATTCATAAGTAATTGGAGTGAACCGTCTTTGTGTATCTGTAGTCTTTGCTGATGGTCTCTCCCACACGTTCTGTTCTCCAGCGCTCTACACCTCTTGGGACGCCAGAACTGACCAGCCCACCTTTCTCAGGATGGCCATCCAGCTGCAGCTCAAGTCCCCGTCAGCAGCACGTGATGGCCTGACCCTGTCCGTCACCTTCATAGCCCTCTGATTGTCCTCGATTGTGGATTTTGTGGGATTGTTCTTTCTTTTGCTTTGTTTTTATACATATTAATTTTATATGGGCCAACTATCACGGCACAGAAGTCTTGGATGAGCAGAAAACTGCTGTTGTTGTTGTTTTCCCTCTTGGGGTGAATGTTTTGTGAGTTATGAAACTTTTCCACTATTCCAAACACTTGGTCCAGAATGTGCACAGTCACACAACAAATATTATTTTTTCATTTTTGTACACTTCACTTGTTTTTCTGAGCGTTCTAAAACGGCTAGATAGAGAATGAAATGTAAATATCCAATGATACTATGGGAAATGATTACTATGGACATAAGAATATATCCTTCACCCTCTCTGTTCCATGTGTGTAATGTTTTATCCTCAGAAATACAGATAATATTTTCACCAGGTACTGAAGGCTTGCAGTACTTTGTATGTTTTTTTTT